ACAAAGAAACTATTTATCACACTGCTTTATAAACGGGAACAAAATGACAGAAGTTTCGGTCATCGCTTAAGTCACGCCATAAAGAGGTGCTATCATGCAGCTGAGCTTGTGTCGCTCCACGGAATTCAAAACATATGAGACGAATCTAATTTAGACAGACCCCACTTTCTTGTCACCTCCTCCTCTGTTTACCGGTGTACCTGTACTTGCGGTAGCATGTGCATCGGCCCGATAGCAAGGTGGTTGTCTACGGCAGAGTTATTCAGCGTAGCACAGACCGAGTACGATCATCTTCTTATCTTGGCTCAGACAGTATACCAACTGCCTTGCTGGAGTACGGTGGCCATGATATATCATTTTTATTCTTAAACTTGTTTACCTTGTCCATGAGGTTGGCCATTTTTCCAATCCAATAGTCAGGCCTAAGCACAAAAATGGCCCAAAGGTAGACCTCAGAAACTACCGCTCGATAAGTCAGAAAGAAAACACGCAACCAGTTGCTCTCACAAGACCTGATTAACCAGACTTAAGTCAGGTCAAGTCAAGAATTCGCTTTTAAACACTCATGAAGGGTAAATTTTTAGTATGGCATTATATAAAAGCAAGCATATCAAGCATGCTAGCTGGAATTCCTGTAGTGTTTAATGAGCTCTGTGAATAATGGCCACGCAACTATCATCCTTTTCATCGACATGCAAAAAGCATTCGATAGAGTGCCGCATCGCCACCTGCTACGGAAAATGTCACAAGTTGGCATCATAGACTCCTGGCATGTTTGGTTTAGATCATATCTTACTGATTGCACTCAACAAATGCAAATAGGTTTCCATAGGTCATCATTGCTGCTTGTTAGTAGTGGTGTGACCCAAGTGAGTGTCTTTGGTCCACTGTTATTCCTGATGTAAATTAATGACAACAGAAACTATTAAAACAGAAACAGAAACTATTAAAAATGGTACAACCTACCTTTTTGTGGATGATATTAAGATACTGTACACGTGTAGTCTTATAAATCTGGAACTGACTTTGTATATGATACGGATAGACTTACTAGCTCTTAGAAGATGGTGTGACAACTGGCAAATGTCATTCGCTACGGATAAATGCAAGATCTTAGCATATAGTTGGAAAATAGATATGGATACCCTATACCTCTGTGGAAAGTCAATTCCAGTCTGCAACACTGGAGGAGACTTAGATATTCAATATTCAAGCACACTCAACTTCCGGGAGCAGATCGAATTTAAAGCAGCCAAAGCCCGCCAAACAGCGCGGTTAATCTTCAAATCACTGATATGGCGTGATTCCAAGCGTACGCCCACTTTTGGAATACTGTTTGATGTTATTTACTAGTTATGTAACGCGATCATCTATGCCAGAAAAAGGTGCAGCGTTGATTCATTAAAGCCCTATTTACCGAATCCCCAGCACCAAACTATTCTGCTTAAATTTAGCCGTTGTGGCTAAGGAGGTTGAAACTGGGCCCGAAGTTTCTACTCGACTTAGTGCAGGGGTGATTAGTTGCCCCCGCAAACTAATACGCACTTCATTCAAAAAAGGAAGGTATAACATTAGAAATAAGAGAAATTCGCTTCCCACAAGTAGAACAAAACAAGCATACGCGGGAACAGTTAGTTGACGAGGTGGTCGGATATCTGGAACAGACGACCTACTGAATTGCGACTATGTGAGTCAAAACAATCACTCGGAAAAATGCTAGATACGTACCTCACTGTGTTGCAAGTCAAAGAACCTATGAATCTGCCGTGCAGAGTGGAGTTACTGGATGAAGAAGAGGTCGAAGCATAGGTACACAGAGACAAGTGCACGATAATGTATGTAGGGATGTAATCTCAGCAGTCTTGCAACTAGACACAGAGCCAACAAAAGACCATGGAGTTCAGCGGATAAGGGGCAGTCATCGCGTCTAATCATCGTGGCATAATAGTTGAAGGTGAGCAACACACTTCAGTTAATATACCGCAGGAAGAAAGGAACATTTTGACAAAAAGTTGAACAAAACCTTTTTAATAATGCCGCAAGAAGACGAACACTGGCAGATGTCAACATTTCGTATTGTCTCTTCAGTGCCAACACAATAACATGAAAATATATAAGACGACAGATAGGGTGAGACGGGAACAAGTTAGAACAGGGTAGAGGGGCAGGCGTGACACCCGTACCAAACCCGCACTCTGTGTGCAGAAACAGCTGTTCGTAAGCCTACGGCTGCCCTGGGCGTAGGGGTGTCACGCCTGCCCCTCTACCCTGTTCTAACTTGTTCCCGTCTCACCCTATCTGTCGTCTTATATATTTTCATGTTATTGTGTTGGCACTGAAGAGACAATACGAAATGTTGACATCTGCCAGTGTTCGTCTTCTTGCGGCATTATTCAAATTACTAAAGGGATCTAATTGTTTCAAAACCTTTTTAGTTTGTTTTTCACACCCCGATTTTGCTCTTTTTTGTCATTTTCAATGTTGGAAGTATTAGACATGTTAATCCATACAATACTGTACACAATTCTTCCACTAATTCCGATTGCGGGCCATATCATCAAGAGTGTTAAGTCATTGGTACCCCTCATCTTTGGGTCCCCATCCTGGAAGACGTACGGATTCAACAGCGGCTAGACACGACGTCAGCGATTTCATATGCTGTCGCCAAGGGAAAGGTTGAGCACACGCGGACGCCTCCAGCCAGGTCCTTGGCGAGCGAATAAAGAGCGGCACGGTAGACACTCAGGTGCCATGCGTAGGATGTGACCGATCAATCTCAACTGTCGCAACAAAACCAGTTTGTCGAAGGGAATACTCGCATTCCCCAAGATGCGACGTCGAACATCATTGCTGTTAACTCGATGTTGCCACCAAACACAAGCAATCCTTCTTAAGCAACCGTTATTGAAGGCAGAAGGACGACGCATGTCTTTTACACGAATCGGCCAGGATTTGCTCGCAAACAACAATACTGAGCGAACTGATGCGCCGTAAACACGGCCCTTTGGCGAGCATGAGACGTCGCAACGACGCCGCAAGTGCCTCTGATTGGCAAATGCTGATCGAGCTTTAGCGATGCGAAGAGAAACTTCTTTGCTGATAGTGCCGTCAGTAGAAACACAGCTCCCATGGTAGACGAAACTAGCTACCTGTTCAAGTTGTGCATCTTCGAGAGTGAGCACAGGAGCAGGTGAAAGGCAATTCTTGAGCGGTACTTTACACTTCGATGGGGCGAAGCTCATGCCATACATAGAGGCTTCAACCGTCAAACGATCCGGAATGGGTTGTATACCCTGAGGATCGCCACCAAGTAAGTCGATATCATCAGCATAATCTAAGTCGGTCGCGCGCTCATCCGGTAGAAGCTCTAGGCCAAAATGTTGGAAACCTTCTAGAGCATTCGACAGAACGTCTTCGATTGCGAAGAGGAATGGGGACATATGGCAGCCCTGTCGCACGCCGCTATTGAGAGCGAATTGCGAGGAAAGCTTGCCATAGATCCTAACTCTACCGGATGTATGAAGGTAAAGCGCTCGTAAGATGGCAGTATGTTTCTCCGGCACCCCGTTCTTTAGTAAGCAACGCCATAAAGCAGGTCGACCAACGGAGGCAAATGCGGTACGTGCACGATAGGACATTGCGTTGTGCACGATAATATGTGCAAACTGTTTGTTTGTTAAACCATTAAACATATTCTCATTCCTGCACCAACTTAGCACGCTTTTCGCCATGCAAAACTAATGGTCTTATCTCTCTTGACATTTGCTGCGCACTGCTAACTGTTATCATTTCTTTTCCGGCGAAAACGACAACTACCTGTGGCAGTTCTTGATGATCTGTGAAGTCCAATTTCCACACCAATCACGCCACAACTCAATTGTCTGGAGTCGCTGAAGCTATATCAACGTCGTTCATAGAGCCGTTCTTTCCTTTTTATTTTTTCTATGTATTCCCTATTTACAACCTGAAGCAGGACTTGTCGGATATATACTATAAATTTACCACTATTTGTATTTCGCCACCTTCTGTACCTTTTTTCATTGTTGACTACGACTGGGCTGATCTCTTAAAGCGGCGGAGTTATTTAATACACCCGAGTTATTTAATACACGCACGTGTAGTGAATTGTCACAGAACTATTGGTGAGAAAAAAGTATGCCTACTCAAGGCAAATTGGCGCATACTCGTATAGTGGAAAAGGTGTCGAGCTTGAACGAGGCAGAAGCCGAAATGGGTTGAGTGGCTTAGACAAGTATAAAAAAGAGGAGAGCTCACTTATCTTTAAGAGTTTATTACTCGTTATATGTAAGAACGCCCATAAAAATGAGCTAGTATAGTGATGGCTAGCATGCTGCAATGGCACACCGACACGAAGTCAAATAGGATGAGGAAGTGCGGATGAAGCCTTTCAAGAGAATACCCCGTATGGAAGTAAGTCCCCAGGAGTCGGTTCGACGGATAGCCGTATTAATCCTATAGTGCTTTTTTAATAACCACTTTCATCCTACTTTTAAACTCTCCTACATTAGCATTAGCATTCCTACCAATTGAACTCCCCTTGAAGCCGATTTGGTGCTGTTTCCGAAAATCCGAAATAACGTGTGCATTTTGAGATCATGTTGTATCATATGATCAATCCAAGTAGTTGAACTCTAACCCGCACAGTCGAGAAATATACATTATTCATAGATGCATTCATACCCGGATGAAACAACAAATTGGGCGGGACCTATCTCTTATTGGTGCAACATTACATGTTAGCTCTGTTGCCCGGTATTTACTTGACTGCTCGATGTGTCAAAACCCCCGCGAGGTGTTCCAACTCAGCACCAAATAAAGCAATCCTAAATTGTTACGTCTTGTTGAGACTTCTGCCAACCGACGAATATGCGACAAGTGATCGCCGACAGTGTTCAGTGAGTGTTTACTCAGCCTGGATGCCAGTGTACGTTGCTACGCATTCAGAACATCTGGCTTCGCCAGCTGACACGTATCTAAGCTCTTACAGTGCCGTTGCGGACGTCTGATGAAGTGTGCCCGCAGGTCAGCGCATGCAAATGCGTGGTCGGATTCCACGCCCGTGTTCCAAGTCGAGCGACAGTTTTGGACCCACATTCTACAACACTAACTAATCGCAATGTGGTCGCGTTGCGTCCACTGTTAGCCGCAATCAGGTTGGTGCCATGGCAGCGTCCCGCGGGTGGTGTGTCGCAAGTTAGGGTTCGTTCGAAATAGACGAGCATCTTCCCATAGGTGTAGCAACCGCTCACCGTTATCATTACGGGAGCGCACACCGTGTTGGCCATTCAGATGAAGCTCACTAGTGAATATTTTCCTAAAATAAGCATTCGGAATACTAGTAACGAATAGGTGCGTCCATCTGGTGCGACAAGTCATCATTTACGGAGTCCGTGCTACAGTTTGTAGGAGCGTAGGTCGCAGTGACGAACAGGTACCGTTTGTCCCCTCTAGAATTCAGAGCTATAATTGAGCCGGCTAATCTGATAGCACACATTCGGTGGTTGATTTGGATCCAATTGCTCAGGGCCGATTCAGCCCAAGGGCGCAGAGCAATGCGCACACCAGTTTGATAGATATTTGAAGCCACGTCATTGTTGGACAGGCGTAATGAGAAAATACCACCAGTGTCGCATGTTGGAGACCGTAGAGTAAGCACAAAACAAGAACCTTTCAGGAGGCTGTCCGCTAAACGGCAGATACCGATCAAAAGATTTTCCAGTGTTAGGGTGTGATACGTGTCGGCTAATCAGTAACAAGGTGCGCACGTTGAAGTATGGCGGTCTCTGAGAGTATCCAGGACTGGATGCGAATTTAGTGTCTAAAGATGAGGGACGCCAAGCGATCGCGTGTGAGTTAAAACTGGAAAACAAGTGAATATTGTAGCAAGATGTGGGAGGGTCTTTAATTAAAGATTTAAAAACAGAGGAATAAAAGTGAGGTTGGAAAGGGACGATAAGGATATAAAATCGTAAGAGGGGATAAGAAGCTGCGCACGCCTGGGCAGCAGCACTCTCACTCCCACTCCGGTAGAGGCAGAAGATAGGGCGCTATTGAGCATCATCTGCATGGCTAGCGAATAACAAATTGTGGGCAAATGTTTCCATTGTATTGCTTGGGCAGTATATTGTCAGGTTGTTTGGTATTGTGATATGAAGATTTCGTTTTGAGGGATAGCGAGCCACTGCCATTCCAACGACCAACCTGGATGGCCAGGAGACTGTGTTTTTCAGGCCTCTAACCATTTACAAATCTAGTATGAGTGTCATGGTATACCTAGGTCAACAAGAAGGCATTTACGGCACGAAATAAAAGCTTCCATGTATTTGATCCACTTTCGTGAACCGCAATCACGGCTCACTCTATTAATTTCCATCAATGCAACTGATGGATAGTCTACCTCTGAGTGAGCGTTTTCTGTGCACCTGGACGTCCAAGTAAGACATATTTAACACTAGTTAAACATATTTTTAACATATTTTGGCGTAAGCTTATGTATTCAGCATCGCTATATTACAATATAGAAATATTTTTCTGCTGTGTATACGGTATTGCGATGAAAAACCCCATTCACGGTATATGTTATAGCTTCACTAAAAATCGTTTTTCTGGGTGATCACAATTCGTCCTAAATATTTCCCACTAAAGTAGTCAGAGGTACAAGGAGCGATCACTCATTATGCTCTAATGCTTAGAGTATGCAAAGTGGGAAATTTGTCTTACGCCGCAATAGCTTAGGTAGACACAGAATGGTAAGAAAACATTGTTTTTGCATTTCGTGACTTTCTTAGGTGGCTTCGTAAAAGACATTAGATTTCTTGCAAAGACGAACCAAACAGAAAACATACAGAAGGACACTTATGTTACGCGCCTGAGTTACTCAACACTGCAAGCAAGAACGCATCAGAAAAGAAGTACCGCACTACTGATATAACTATAACAGATTGCCTACTTTGCTTTATGCTTCTTCTGTGTGGCGTGGTGATAAGTGTTCTGTGCCCATTAATTACTCACTCAAATAACCAAGTAACACTTTAAACATGTGATAGCAATAGGCAATAGTTTAGGCGCTGTAGTGTTGATTTTGCATCTAAAAGCTGGTATTCCGTTGCCATTTGTACTGAGACTGTATGTAAGAGCAAGTAGAAAGGTTAATGTACAACTATCGAACTATGGAAAATCGAAAACATTTAAGTGTGAATCGTAAGCGGTAGTGTTTGGTCAGTTAGTCATTCATTCTTTTTCGGTTAGGAACTCGTATTAGTGTCATTATTTCCGGGTATAGGATGTATTTTTTCTCATTGTTTGTGCACTGTTTCACAAAAGCACAGGTTTCCGAAATGATCGTCGATACGTGTTTTAAAACACTTCACAGAATCGGCTTCTATTAGTCCTTTTGGTAGTATATTCCAGGAGTTCATGCCTTCTCGTTCCATACAAAGCTGATGTGATACCTTGTTCATGCATGGGACCCTGAGTTTGTAACGGTGTTCTCGGGTCTTACTAGGTGCCCGCAGGAAAATATTGGCTGCAATATGGGGAAGCGATCCGAGTGTAGTACTCGATGGGTCATAATAAGGTCAATTTTTACTCGGCGGTAGGTAAGTGTGTAGAGTTCACCTTTCATAACGTTTATCGTGCGGAAGCTTTCGTAGACTCTGTATCACTCGAAGTGCGATGTGCTGTATTTTCTCCAACTTTTCAGTTTCTCACTGCGTTATCGGATGGTAAGCGGGGGTGCCGTATTCAAGGATTGGTCCAATGAACGAGGTGAATAGGCGAGGGACAGTTTCTTCGGACTATGTGCAACAACTGCGTCGTAATGCCCAGAGCATACGAAGTCCCACACGGTACAAGTTCCCCGTATTTTCTAATGATTTTATATCATGTCTCGAGAGCACTGCTAAGTCTGTAACAGATATGTTAGGGCAAAGCAACTGACCGTCCAGTATATGATCGAGTGGCTGGATGTCTGCTGATACTGAGGAACTCCGAATTGCTTGGGTTAAGAGGGAGTTGCATTTCAGTGGACCACGTTGACAGTCGCTCTGTCGTGCTGGAGGCGAGCGCAGTCGCCCTGGTTCTCAATGGTCCGCTGGATTTTCAAATCATCTGCAAATAGGGCACACGGTGACTAGAGCTGCGGCGGAAGCTCATTGATATGAATAAGAAATAATACTGGCCCAAGTACAGTTCCTGGAGTCACGCCACTGGTCGATAGGAACCAGTCTGTCAGGTAGTCACTGACCTACACTCTAAACTTTCGTCCCACGATAAACGCGTGTAACCACTGAAGTAGCGTGCCATCGATTCCGCAGGTTTTCAGTTTAAGAAGGAATACCTAGTAGTTCATTCGGTCAAACGCCTTACTAAATTCGATGTACACCACGTAAACATCCTTCCGTTCGTTGAGAGTTTGTATCCACTAGTGGTTTACGTATATTAAGTTGGTGATGCAGGATGGCGTTTTCGTAAAGCCGTGTTGCGCTGGTGTCAATACTTCCATCGATTCGAAGAATGACAGCGGACACTTTTTCAAAACCTTCTCGAGAAGTTTGTATAATATCGAAGTTAAATAGATCGGGTCTATAGTTCTCTACTTTACTCGGATTACCGCCCTTGGGAAGCGGTCTTATGATCGAGCATTTCCGGTCCGTGAGAACAGATCCTTCAGAGAGTGATTTATTGAACAGGTTTGTCCCGGATGGTGAGATAACACTCGGTAGGGACTTGAGTATTAGTGGGTGAAATGCATCTGGTCCGAGGGGCTATGCACCATCGAGGTTGACGAGTAGCTGATACACTTCGACTGCAGCACATTGTAGGCTGCCGAGCAAGACTGGCGCATCCTGTGCCGGTACTGGAACAGCAGCCGATTTACTGAAAAATACGGTGGGGAAGTGCACAGCCAAGGCGTCCGCGCGCTCCACGCTTGAAATGAGCGTCTGTCTGTCCAAGGTCTCTAAGACCGGTAGGTAACCGCCAGGTTTCAGTTGACGTTTCAAGTAGGCAAATATTATTTTGGGTGCAGTTGTGGCCGAAGATGTCAGCTCCTCTTCGAAGTGCCGGTGTTTCTTGATATTTGCGGCGTTACATAAGTTACGCTGTTTCTTGTACACTGCGTAACGTTCTTCCCAGCCCGAACTGATGCACCTATCCCAAAGTTTGCGACACCGTCGCGCTAATTGTCCATATTCCCTATCAAACCAATGCGATTTGACAGGTCCGATTTTTGAATACTTCATGGGAACGAACCGAGTACACAACGAGTTAAGCTTTCCCTTCATTAATTACCAAGATGCCTCAACCGACGCATCCTGTGGTAGTGTCCAATCAGCCTGAGTTGCGGCTTGGACGAGCCCGCTGAAGTTCGTCTTCCAGTAGTTGAAAGTCGGCTTGCCTTGGTTGTAATACGGTAACTGCAGTTCTATGCTTGCCACAATGGAGCAGTGGTCACTGTTTGCCAGCGGTTCGAAGACTCTGATCTCCTTCAGCTTCTGCTCGCAAACATTAGGTCCAGACAAGATGCTGAGTGAGAAGTTACGCGCTTCGGTTGGATAACATGTTGCGTTGCCACGATTTCAATAGTCATTTTAGCGAATTAAGCCTCAACGTCGCCATGACGGGGAAGAAGCCGAAGGTCTGGCCAGAATATCTTAGGCAAATTTAGATCCCCATCAGTTGGAGATGAGGCGGCTTATATGCTACTATATATGTGGTAGCCAATCACAACAATGGTCAAATGGGCTACGGTAGATAACACCCACTATTAGTTCTGCGTGTTTGAGGCGGACTGTGCACCGTAATTGCTCGCATAAGTTGTCCTTGCTCCGATAGGTGCTGGTAAATTTGCCAGATAGTGACGATTTTATGTTCTGTAGTGGAGAGGAAACATTTAGATGTTCAGTATTTCTTTGACATCGGAATTTTTCTTGCTTGTATCTTCTGATCGTTCATTTAGTTCACTGCTGTCATATTTGGTTAATGTTCAAATTCTTTGTTAGTCGTGCGCTACTTTGCTACATGATGTCGATAATTTACTCCCAGTTCATTGCAGCCCCGTACAATACACGTTGGGTTCGGCAACATTCACACTTCTGAATAACCAGTATCCATGCTGGTTCGCAATGGTTTTTGTCGTGACCAGTACGTTGGATCCGCTCCACAATTGGTAATCTCTGTTGTGAACTTCATCGCAGTCATCTTGAAATCCGTATCCCAGTGAAACCGAAGCTTGTCCATTTTGTTTGGCTTTTCCCGCTTTCATTTTGTATTACACTTTAATAATGCTTCAGCTTAACACTGAACTTCTAGACCCAACTTGTAATACTGTTACGAATCCAGTCACACCGTCATTAAGCCGTTTTGGTTTGTACTGTTGGTTTTCGAATTACTTGCCATAGGATCACCTCCGATTCATCAAAGTGCAACCTGCCACCCTCTTGACTGCGTAGTAACCTGCCATTGCAACGCAAGGACCTTACGAGGCACCCCGTTTCTGAACATTACGACACTCCGGAGCAAGCCGTCATAAGCAATCACGTTCTCTGAGCGGACTCGCATTCATCAGCTATTGCAAGGTCTGTAACTGGGTGAGAAGATGCCCGCCAAGCTGTTGTGTGAGATGCTTGGTACATCATCGATGGACGAAGCATTACTGCACGAAATCATGTCGAAGCGTTTACCAGAAGGAGCACAAAATATTCTTACGGCGAATTAACTACAATCGCCAAGTGATGCCCACCAGGCCGTAGACGCATTAGTGAACCGTTTTAGCCCTCGGCTCATTTGGGTTGAACCAACGTTGTCATAACGCCGCTCCTCACCCTTGCTGATCACAATCCACCCCATCCGCTCCATCGTCACAGGAGTTAACAACTGTCTAGGCAGAATTAGCAGTTCTACTCTGCGACTTTGGCAACAGATCTTATGACAATAACGCATGCCATTCACGTAGCAACTCACCTAACCGACGCGATTCTGCAGCAAGTAATCAATACTAGTGGTGCCATTGCCGCTTTAGTGCGCAAGCCAAGCGTTGTACCACACTCTGCACTTTCAATGAGACACTACATGGAAACTCGCGTGGAACACACGCTCAAACTTGGAATAATCCGTCCTTCATATAGCCACTGCTCCTCTCCACTCCAGATGGCTCCAAAGCAATCTGGGGACTGGTGCTCTTGAGCTGACTGTCGGGTACTATACAAAGTTACGGTCCCCGACAGGCACCTCATCCCACACATGGGGGACCTCGCTGCATGCCCCACATGTAAGGCGGTTTCCAGCAAGATCGCTTTTGTTTGTGCTTATCACCAGATACCTGTCGAGGTACATGATATCTAAAATACTCGTCCTCACTCCCTTCGGCCTTGTCGAATTGTTAAGAATGGCTTTTGGATTGTGCAACACCGCACAGACCATTCAACGTTTTATCCACGACGTCACTCATGGCCTAGGCTTTACTTATCCCTACCTCGACGACATTCTTGTAGCCAGTTCATCCGACGAGGAATACCTTGCTCATCTTCAATCTCTTCTAACGAATGATCTAACACGGTGTCGCCGTTTACCAAACTAGATGCGAAGTTGGCAAGTCAAATGTAGAAATCTAGGTTAATTCGTCCCATCGTCCGGTATTGAGGCCTTTTCGGACAAGATACAAACTAGTAAAGATTTCTCACCTCCGAATTCTCGTAACCCCCTACGTCGATTTGGTGTTTTGGTCAACATCTATAGGCGCTTCCTTCCCAGCTGCACTCAACTTATGCAGCGCGACTGATCTTTGCAGAAGAAACGGGCGAAAGTGCGCTTTCCAAGCTACAGCACACACAGCTTTCACCGAGCTTATGGGGGCTATCTCCAACCTAACTCTCCACGCCCACTCCGGACGATTTACCCCTCCTTCTCTTACAACGGATGCTTCAGCCGCTGCGGTAGAAGCAGTTCTCAAACAACCTGTTGATGGGCAGTGGCAACCACTCAGTTTCTTCTCCAAACGTTTGAAACCAGCGTAATCCCTCTACAACATGTTTGGTAGACAACTGCTTGCCATTTACTTCGCTACCCGTCACTTCCGACACATATTAGAAGGTCATGCTTTCACAGTCTAAACTGATCACATGTCTCTCATTTTCGCATTTAACTCATCCTCTGACAAATATTGACCACGGGAAACTAGGCACCTCGACATTTTACGCATTTTACTGCTGACAAACGCCACACTTTGGGTGTCGCCAACCCCATTTGCTGAGGCTTTCTCATGTCAACTTCCCTCTACACTTTCTGTCTACTGTAGACCTTGCCGCCACGACATCGGCAACGCACCTTGTATTTCACTGCTCTACATATGCAACCCGTTCCTCCCCAAACCACGGAAAGAACAATGCTTTGTGACATTTCCACAGGTTATCCTAGACCTCTGGCTATTGCCTTGTTCAGACGCACAGTCTTCGAAACTCTTCACTCAATGTCCCATCCCCGTATTAGTGCATCTATAAAATCGGTCACCGAGCGTTTCCTTTGGCAAAGCCTAAACAAAGATGATTGTAACTGGGCTCGTGTTTGTCTTAACTACCAATTCTTTAACGTACATCGTCACACCCATAGTACTCTTGGCTCATTGCCGGCCCTGGATTCACGGTTTTCCCACGTACACTTAGAATTAGTAGGTCCATACCCCCTTCCCATGAATTCGTATATATGCCGTTCTGTATGGACAGTTTCACTAGATGGCTAGAAGCCATTCCTATTCCAGACTGCACAGCGGAAACTGTGGTCTGTGTCTTCTTGGACCGTCGCGTGTTTCACTACGGATGCCCATCCACTATCACAACCGACCGTGAAATGCCTTCCGAATCTACACAATTAGATGCGTTCTGCAACTTCTTAGGCAGTAGCCGTATTCACACTACTGCATGCCACCCTGAAGCTAGTGGCCTAGGCGAACGCTTTCATCAACAGCTTAGGTCATTTCTCTGTGCCAAATCTGACCCTGACTGGAGCGAAATTTTTCGCTCGTACTTCTACGTATTCGCAACAGCAGCAAAGCTGATCTTTAGTGAACACCAGCAGTGATGGCCTATAGTACAACACTCTAGCTGCCAGGAGATTTCGTCTAGCTTCTTCGCCATTGTATATTCCATAGTCGGAGTTTGCAGCCGCCCTTTCTCAACGTATGTGGTCATTACGCCAGACCTCCTCTCGTGAGCAGACCAGAGATGTGCAAATGCACAGTGGACTCTCTACCAGCACACAAGTTTTCGTTTGCATACGCGCAGTGTGTCACGCTCCCCAGCTCCCCTACACTGGCTTCCTCAAACCTCTCCAGCGAACTCCTAAAATCTTTAAATTAGGTCAGAACAATCAACGAACAACGGTGTCCATTGATCGTTTCAAGGTTGCCTTCTTTGAAGATTCCCTTCCAACCGCATAAGTTACAGCCGCATAGGCAAAATCACCCGCATGTTTACATCCAGCACCACGCATCCCAGCTCCCTCTGTTACCCTTGACCACCTGCCAACCCAGCCCCAACCCCAAGCAACTGATCGACGCGGTAGACAGGTCAAATATCCCACCCGTTTTCCTATTTTGCTAGCATTTCTATATTCTCTGACATGCTTATCTTCTACTCTCTAGGAAAATCGTGCATTTTACGTAAAAAGTTTTTGCAAAACGGCGCCCTCCTCAAAAAGCTTAAAAAACCAAAAATTTTACATGTTTTTGTTTCGCATACTAGCCTCGTTATTCCATAGAATATTAAGGCGCCTGACTAGACCACTTTTAACCCTCCCCGAGTGTTTAATTCCAGTACTCACGTCCCCTGAAAAAGCGCGACATATCCTGGCCCGTCAGCCCGGAACCTCAGGTTCCATCATCTTGGCCTCAGACGACGGCCACTCCCCATACTACCGGTGCTGACAACAGTTAGCCTGGTTTGCTGACTGTTTAAAAGCGGTTTCCCAAAGACGAGGTCCGGGGTTCTTTGTAAGGTGATGAGGATCGCCACGGCCTTAAACAAACGTGCGCTGGAGTGAGTAACACCTCTCAAGCGCACCGACGGGCCTGAAGCGTAGCAAATATCCTATCGGTCTTGTTAAGACTGGTCAGTATTTTTGTAGTCCGACACATCCTTCCCGACGGGATACCAAACATTGACCACTCCACACCTAACTAATAAATAACAAAGGTGCCTAGACCCAACGAACTCCACTTGCCCTCTTTCTGTCCGCCTTCGTCTGTTATAACTGCTTTCCTACTCTCCCATCCTTCTTTTGTCTCCCCACC